TGCCTGCTTCTCAGTGAAGCTGTTACCCCAAACCCCCAAACTTTTTGCTACTTCTTGAAAAATAGGCACTATGACTCCTTTATCTGAGAGCAAAGTTTTTCTCTTCTGTTATTACATTCTATTATCTATTATTTATAAGGTTATTATAGATAATTCTGGGTAATTATAGATCATCTATAAGGTAATTATCTATAATAATATTTTATATAATATGTTGTACATGAGTATATTATTTATTAAGTATGTTAATATATTTATATTTAATATATGTTAATAATTATGTGCTAACATATTATAGTCTGTCTTTCCAGACCAGAAATTACTAAGTCTTTAAAACACCAAAGAAAAAAATAATGCTAGTGATACTCTATTGGAAAGTAAAATAAAGAATAAAATTTAGAAGTCGGTTCGTGTGATTAGAAATAGAAGTGCCAGCTTTGCCACTTCTAACTCCCACATCTCTTTTCAGCTGCTGGCTGGGCGCTGGCCCTTTGACCACAATGACTTTGGCGTCTTTCTTTGCAAGCTGTTCCCCTTTCTGCAGAAGTCCTCAGTGGGAATCACCGTCCTCAATCTCTGCGCTCTCAGTGTCGACAGGTAACTCGGTCTTTCCTTTTGTTCTTCAGTTGGGTCTAGAAGGCATTTTTCTCGAAAAGAAAAGCCAAGAGAGTTGGTATCCAGAAGAGTTGTTTACTAGTTTCAAATAAATTAAAATGTTAACAACTTTTCCTCTGCTATTTAGAATTGCTTCATACATTTGCTGGTTATTAGTGGGCTGTGGCTCAGGCAACATGTACTTGGAGCAATTTGCCAACAATCTGTAGTTGACATCTTTAAGGCAGCCACAACAACAGAAAGAATCTATTAAGGAATAAAGTTTGTGAAAAGGTGATTCCCTAGYACATGTAAATTCATTTTAAACTAATGATTTTATTACTATAAAAACAAACATACTCTTCARTTATATTTGTAAGGATTGATGGCTTGAACTAAGTGGTAAATATATAGTACTGTTATATCCTTCTTCATGCTCTTTTTGAATGCCTAAAATATCTCATAATTTAAAAAAGAAGATACCAATAGCAGTATCCTTTATCCAAATGAAAAATCCACCACGCATCTTAAGTCTTTTTAGAGTCCTCACACATGGCCATAAAGAGTTCTTTAAAGACACCTTCTGAATTCTGAGAACTTCCAGATGGTATTTACTTCACTTTCAAATTTTCACAGCAGGACTCATAAAACAATGAAGTTAGGAACTTCATAACACATTCCATAGAGCTCTTTTATATTTAAAATAATGTTATACCATGTATATAATATCTTGTAAATAATTGGTTTATACATACAACTAGCCATAGGTACAATTTAGAAGAGATTTCAATTTTTTCCAGCTCATATCCCTGACCAGCACTTTATCAGAGAACCTGAGTCCCCGGCACAATAGAAATAAAAGGCCACTCTTAAAAAACATTCGAGTGTTTACACAGATATTCTGACATTCATCATTTAAAATTAATTTTACAATGAAAAATGCAGTTAAAATGTAAAATTACTCATTCCGTTGGTAGTTACAAACTTTGATATTCTATTCATAAATTTATGGCTATAATAGTTGAAGCAAAATAAATAAAATGTTTAGTATTTTTAATGCATTTATTTGTTGTAATTAAAACACATCAAAAATTCCATTGGTAATTTTAAAATTCATTAGTACTATCCAGAAAAATAGTCCCACTGCAATAGTTAAAGATCAGAGAGAATTTCATTACCTATCAGTAAGAATTGCTGTGATCTGTGGSAAAACCTGAGATGTATATCAGGTGTTAAGGCTACTGCATTTAAAACACATATACCACAGGAGACCACAGTATAGTGACCACAGTATAGYGACCATTTCCCTAAACGTACTGATGACCTGCATTTGATTCACTAATAAATTCTCACTTTGATGTTCCTATCCCCAGCATCCCAATATCATTTCTTTTTTCACTCAAAGTACATAATTATCAAGTATTGGTATTATAGTTGTGTGCAAAGATGCCTTCCAGAGTATTCTATTACCTAAAAATCCAAGACTTTAAATTATATCCATTACATTGCTAGTACAAGTAAAATTTTCCTGTATTTATCAAAGTGTATATTTAGAGATGTATTCTCATTACCATATCCAACTTAAATTTTTAATATAACTCTAAAAGCCATGTGGGGAAAAGGAATAAGAAAATTATCATGACATTTGGCAAAAAGAACCGTGTCTACACATATGTTCTTCCTATGTAATACCATTAAATATTATAAAGCTACAATATTTAAAACAATGTAGTATMGACACAAATAGTATGAAAAACCAATGGGAAAGCCAGAAATAGGTGTTAGAGTACACAGGAATATAATACAGGCTGAAGTCACTTTGAATACAATGAAGACAGAATGGATTTTTTTACAAGTAGTGCTATTTAGCTATATGACCCAAAAAAAGCATATCAAGTTTTACATGGTGCTTTCTATCAATAATAATATGTATAATAATTTTCATTTATTGAATATGAAGTAGGAGGCCCTCCTTAAAAACTTMACAGAAATTATTTAACTGTGATATGTGCTATGGTTTACAGATAGGGAAGCTGGGGTCAAAAGAGGTTAACCAAGTCCACATGGATCCCAAGCCTTGATGCCAGTAATCAAATGCAGGCCATCTTCCTTCTCTCTCTCTTTTATTTCTAGCATCCAGGAATGTGTGGTTTTATTATTTGTTTCACAAATGGTCTCAGTTTACTTTTGGGTTACTTCTTATCCATGACCAGGGCAGCTGGTGTTCTCCACGCCTGCATTCTGCCAAGTGACCACTCTACTCGAACATGTGAAAATTCAAACCATAAAGCTGTAGAAGAAAATAAACGRATCATCTTTTGACCTCTGGAAAAGAAAAACCTCCTGAACTTAAACAAATGGTAGACATTCAGAAAAAAAATTTAACAGAATGAATACAGCAATAAGCTGGGGAAAATATTCGTCACTCCCCCCCCCCACCCCCGACACACACAGGCCCAGGCTAGCTCCTCAAACTTTTCTTCTGCTCACTCTTTCTTCTTCAGGGAATCTCAGAGGATCTTCTCGCTAAACTTCAACCAGTCTCAGTGGAATCCCATCAGTGTGAGGGAGGGGCAGGCTAGGTCACCCACACCGCCTGCTCTCCCCATGCCAGGCAGGAGGGAAAATGAGCTATGTGTTCCATCACATCCATCCCTTGTGTACCAAATGAAATGTGAGTCATTCTTCATTAGGAAAAGGACAATAATAGAATGCCAAAAATCTACCTCATTAAGACTTGGGGTCTGACTTTTAGATCAAGGAGTTGAACCACTTTAAAATTCCAGCCCCACAAAAATCAGTCTTAATCCAGGAGGTTTTTCCCTGGTAATAAGCCCATCATTCTTTGTTCCCTACATCCATTCTTGACCCTTTTGTTTCATTTGGCCTTGACTCTAAGCTTTGGGACCTGTATGTAGGCGATCTACTTGACATTTCTATTTCAAAAGCTTTCATGCTACAGAATRAATCATTCACACTTAACTCCTCAAGATAAGATACCATTTGTTTTGAGTCTTCATTTGGTTGCAATGATAGTCAAAGAAAATCTTTTCTTTTTTCTTAAAAGAGTCAAAAGAGGGAAATTGGAACCTGTTACCAAACAATTTGCTATTTGTGAAATTCCTGCTTTCATTGTCTGTCAAATTATGACCCAGGAAAAAGAGTTCCCATAATCTTATATGATATTTTTAAAATACAATAATTATTTCCCATCTTGAGTTGTTTGAGGGAAAATAATGAAACTATACATCAAAGTTCTATAGAATTTCTTTATTACTTCATTAATCACTCRATGATCAGAGAATGCTATAAGATCAAAGAAAAGTTTCAGTTTTCTCACTATCAGTTTTTAATCTGACTAAAATAAACATGACAGAGAAAGTGAATGATTTGAACCAGAATGGATGAGCTTTCCTTGTTCAACTATGAGCTTGTCTCAGTTTAACCTTTTTCTTAATTCCTCCTCAAATTTCTTTTCTAAATTTATCTTTGATTTCACATCCTTAGTCTCTTTTGAAAATGATAAAGCAGAAATTTTAGAAAAATAATGAAGAAATTTAGGAACAAATTTTGACCTCTGTCCAGCTTTATCCGTAAAATAATKTTTTAATGCTAAGGCCATACACCTCTAAAATGAATGAACTTTTTCCCAAAATATATGAATAGCTGACCATTATTAAAAATGAAAAACTAAAATGGATTTTTTTGAATGCCATAAGTCACAAGGTTCATAGGTTGCTTTGAGTCCAAGAGGAGAGAGAAGAGGGAGCTGGAGTCGGGGAGGGGCTTCAATACTGTTCCTTGTGAAATTAACAGTCACCTTAAAGACGATGACAGAGTCAGACCATAAAAAGGCCTTAGTACAGATCCAACTTGTAGTTAAAAGATGTCTGGGGAAGGAGGCTGTAAAAAGATAAAACTCTTTTAACAACTGTTCCAGAGTGAGGGGTRATTAGATACCTGGAAAGGCTGCAAAGATCACTCCTAAGGCAGCTTTGTTTTATATGCCTTCAGCTCCAAAGCTGGTGTCAGGCCTTCAGCTCATCATTTCAAATAATTCTCAAAGGATGATCCCAATTCAAGAAACACAAAGGTGATTTTCTGAGAAGCCTCATTTCTATTTAGATCTGGAGGTTTCTTATTCTCCCAGTGGTTCTGCTTTCTATTGCTGCATAATAACAAACGTGAAGACTTGAAAGAACTGGCAGAGCCCCGAGACAGGCACTCGGAACTGGACAAAGTCAAAGTCTGGCCAGGGTTACTTGGGATCGCATTCTCTTTTGCCCATAGTTATTCCTTTTTTTAATTTTAATCCATGGCCAGGATCAGGCAAATGGTTAATTTGCTACCGCATATCTCTTTGATGACAAACTATCCCCAAACTTAGCAGTTCAAAACATTTTATCATATCTCACCATATTATGGGTCAGGAATTTGGGCAAGTCTTCTGCTCCTTGTCACTTCCACTGGGGTTGCTAGTGGATTTCAGCTGCCGCTGAGCTTGCCTCCTGGCACCTTGGCAGGGACAGCTGGAAGTCTGAAGTCGGCAGAATGCATCTCTCTCTCTAGATTCTCAGTGCATCTCAACACTTGGCTCCAGCGGGCTCAGGGCTCCAGTGCAAAAGCTGCCACTCCTTTCCGAGGCTRGGCCTGGAACTGGTAAGGTATCATTCTATCTGCTCCATTAAAGCAGTCGCAGGCCAGYCCTATTTTAGAATTTAACCGAAGCATACCTGTAAACCCAGGGGCCTCAGGAGGCTGATGCAGGAAGATTGAGAATTCAAAACCAGCCTCAGCGACTTATGGAGTCCCTAAGCAAATCAGCAAGACCCTCCCTATCTCTATATTAAAAAATAAAAATAAAAAAAAAACCCTGGGGATTTGGTTCAGTAGTTAAAGCACCCCTGGATTCAATCCCTAGTACCAAAAAACAAAACAAAACAAAAACAAAAAACCTCAACTGAAGAAGTGTTAAAGCATTTGCAGCTTGTTTTTAATACAAC